AATGAGTATTGTCTAGATTACTTTGTTCTTTCCGAAAGTACTGGAAATTTGATCGTCAGTTGTTCCGGAGAAAATGTAGGGTTGGTTGCATGAATATCGTATGTTGTGCTTTATAAAAACCAAAATGTTCAACTCTGACCGGTGTTAACTCACGAATCCACAGAGCTCGACAATTTAGAGCTTTTGGGTCAAGAAATATTAGTTCTCTTGGTTAAAAATATTGAAGGGTTTTTTTTTCCGAAACTAAACTTCTGTTTACAGCAGAGGACGAATTTTTGTTCTAGCGAATAGGGTAGTCGCTGCTACAGACGCAGGGCCGTTACCATTTTAAGCTAAAAACGTTTTTCTAGCTTTCAAAGAGTGATTATCAGGTTACGTGAGGTATAATTAATTCTTTTCGTAGTTTACTTGGTTGGAATTATTGAAGTTGATAATTATTACTCATTTCGGAGTAAAACTTATATCTTATTGAAACTTTCAGGTGGGCCATTTGCTTTGTTCAAGGTAATGCTTGAAAAGGGAAAACTTCTTGACCAATTCAAAGCTTCAGAGCTTATTGGTTTATTTTTGATTTAGAAGGTGTCCCAAGTGCTTCCTCGCGTATTACGTCTTGATTTCCAATTTTTTATAGGTTCTAGAGAAGTGGCGGTCGTACAAATCCGTTGTCCCAACTTACGGTGCTATACTGTTAGATAGCACTTTGAATTATGTTTTACTGATTCAAGGTTTCTATGCAAGAAGCAGTTGGGGGTTCCCAAAAGGAAAGGTATGACATCATGATGGTTTTACCCCTCCATAGATTTTATGTGAATTCGGAAAGGCCTTATCAATCTCTTTATGTGGTTTTATTTCCTAATTTTAGTTGAATGAAGGTGAAGAACCTACTGTTTGTGCAGCTAGAGAAGTAGAAGAAGAAGTTGGGTACGACATTAGTGAAAAAATTTCCGAGAAATTATTTATACAAAAGTTCGTCAATGAAACATTGGTGCGGCTTTACTTGATCACAGATGTTCCTGTCGACTATCATTATGCGCCGAAAACTCGAAATGAGATTGGGTTAGAATGCTTAGCAATGATGGGCTTAATAGTTTCTTACTGTTCTTTGTTTTTTTGCTTCTTGTATTTATAATTAGGTTATTTTTTTTCAGCAAAATACAGTGGTTTTCTATATGGGATTTGCCAACTGACCGAAATGACACAAAGACTTCCGAACGTATTGGTTATTCACCAAATAATTTTTATACAGCTCTACCTTTCATTAATGATTTACGTGAGTATGTGAGTAGGCAACAGAAAAAAAGATTGAAGAAACCGAAAGTAAGTTTAAATGCATCATAACAATGCAGGGAGGCTTTTTAATTTTTGTAAGATCCTAACAAATTAGAGAACTCCTGGTTATGATTGCCAATGCCAGTTAAGATGAGCATTTGTGGTTTTCTGGGGTGACATAAAGTACAAGTACTTTTTTATAGAATCTTGGTTCTATTGGTATCGGCCCTCGGTCAGCTAGCGCATTTGATCCAGTTTTACCGCAACGTAATTATTCGTTCATTAACAGCAAAATATTTTTTGTAATTTAGCAGCAAATATATCTAAAATTTGGTTTTCAAATATCTTTATTAACGGTAGTTTGAAGAAGGGTGAACAATAACTGCATATCATCAGTTTACGTAAATTTACAAATCATTTAAAAAGTCGGTTTTGAAAGAGTGTTTAAGTTGGAGTTAACTTTTCTGTTTAGTTGAGTAACGCTTGCCTCAAGATGGGGAATGGAAATCAATGTTACTTATTCTTTTTCAGAAAGGCTGGAAAGTTTACCTCCGATCCTTGGTACATTACTTCCAAACCTGGAGAACAACAGCCTATCACAACACACGTCTGGGCTAAACATCACAGGCAGTCAGCGAGATGTCTCGCCGTCCAGCACTTTTTTCAAACCAGTTTCGATAGCTCCATTAACCTTTACCGGTCCATCTTTTATGGAACTAGTGCTATCTAACGTTTCGAAATCACCGAATGGTTAGTTTTAGTGATGCCATTCTCTTTCTAATGAGTTTTTTTGTGGATACGGCGTCTGAAAAACAAATTACTTTTCATTTTTGCTGATTTATAAGCCGGTGAGGCGTCTTATGTTTTCTTAGCCTTATGTATTTGTTTAATTACTTTGCCAATACTTCCTGGGGTTTTTGAAAAGAAATTTTTAATTTAAACGATCACGATTAGAATGAAACTTAAATTCAAGCCGATCTGCCAAAAGCTGTGGCATTAGCACGTCCAGTTCCCACGAAACCGACGGCGCCACTGTTGGGGCGCCCAATTTATCAGGCCGACAAGAAAAGTGGAGGGGAGAAGAAGCCGGACACGGTAATGTTTTCAAAGATCACTACAACAAGAAAGGACGTTGCACTAATTGACTGCACTCACTATTTGGTTGTATTAAAGTTTTTGGTTTTAGAATTATTTTATATATCTGTCGTCCTTATTTCTATGGATTTAGACAGCCGGTTCTCAAGCAGACAATGCATCACCTTATTTGGTAGACACTAACAATTTGCACAGTAAAGAGCCTGTTGTTCAGTGCCGTTCTCGTCGCTTGCGTAACCGGAAAGCCGAAAAAGAGTCGTTGTCCGAAGAGGCAAATAATTTTGAAGAAGCTCATAAATACGAAGAATTTGAAACCACTAAGTTTGTTTTACTTATATTTGGGTTTTAGTATGAATTTGATAACCGTGAGGATAAATGTTGATTTTTTTATGGTTTTCAGAAGTCCTCACCACCTTAACCTTCCGGAGATTGTCATAGAACCCTGCGAAGCGTGGATGAAATTCAAAGTTGTTTTTTTTTTTTTGTAGTTCCATTATTAAATGATTTTTCGTACATCTTTGAAAGTTTTGTTTATTTTGAAACATCAGTGATTTTCACTATTGATTGAAAGTCATTCCTTCAGTTGGATCCTTCGCGGATAACTCTTGCTTGACCTGTCGCATTCAATTACCGTTGCTGAAAGAGAAGAGTGGCAATTCTGTAGACAAAATGCTTTACATATTGTACATAAGGGTTAAAGTTTTCATATACATAAGAGTTGAGTATATTGTATAGTCATTGTATAGCCATTAACTCGTCGTGCTAGTCCAGCAGTAGAATTCATTTATCTTTTGGCTGGAAGACTTATGTTTAATATATTTATCTTGTTATTTTTTGTTTTGTAAAATCTTTTGTGCTTTTTTTATTTATAATTTGGGTTTCTTACGTGTACGCTGTACAGCGTTAAGGCGTTATGGAAAAAAATTAACTTATATTTTCACTTCTTGTGATTGTTTATGGGCTCAGGTTTTTTAATTCTAATTGATTTAACGGCAGCTTAGATTTATTTGTCAATTGCCCATTGAGTAATATTTGGTGCTGTGATATGCAGATTTTAGACTGCTCTACGTGGCAGTTTTAGATGGAACAAATTCGGTGCTTCGGTTAAACGGGTATTGAAAGTAAGGGGTATTCATTAAATATTTTGTAGTTACGGTTCAAATTTTTTGTCAAATGCCGCATATTGCTATCATTTGATAGGCTAAATATATTGTGTATAGGAGTGCTTGAAATAGTCTTTGAAATAATTTTTGTGTTAAGAAGTTTTAACCACGTACTTGTTCTGTTGTAGACTGCATCAATTAAAGTTATCCTTGTTTACGATTTGTAAGGCGTTGCTGTGAGCTCTAGAAAGTGTCGTATAGTTTTATGAATCACCTTAAATTTGTCCACATATTGCAGTGTTATTTTAGGTTTTTCTGCAGCTTACAGTTGATTTGCGAGTTTTCAAGTGTCTTTTATTTATTGTCTCTTTTCAGCGTTTGCTGACTTGATCTCATTTGTGGTTAACTCGTTGTTTATTTTGAGTAGATGGTATTTTTTTTAAACTGTTTTTTGTAATCACTGTTCGTTGATGCATGATATAATTGTTGTATAAGCAGGCAGACTCTGCACTGTCTCAAATCACATTTTGCGCTGAGATGTGTTGTAAGGAAAATAAATATTTATAGGGATAGAATTGCGCTTCTACTTTCGCAAACAACTGGACTGTAGGATTGGTTGTAGAATTGGAGCAGGGGGTAAGCGGCATTTCGTCTCTTGAATTTGTGACATGTGTGGGGCTTAAAATGATTGGGCAACTCAAAAACAATGCGGTAATAACGTTCGCGGAGTACGTGACAGGTTGTTGGTGTTGTGTTAGATTTTAGGCGGAGTGAGCTGCGTTTGCAGGCTTTTCGTAGCTGCTTCCCCGGTGTTGCGGGAATCGTCCGCTAAAGTGATGGTTAGAAGCAGACACGAGGTAGAAGCTTCAGTAACCGAAAGTTTCAAATGGGCGTTACTCTTGTGTTGTTAGTTGGCTGTTGTTTTCATCATTGTCTGCAATATTTGTGCTGCTACAGTAAAATGTGAGAAAATAAAGCAAAAACGTGGGGTTCTGTATGTAAGGGCTGTGAAGAATTATCAGAGGATGAACTTTACCGGCAAGTTCTATTTGAACCACTAGTTTTTGTGCTTTATGCTCATTAATTGAATCCGTGCAGAATTGAGGCTGTTATTGCACCATACAGCTGTTTTAAACTGGCTTTGCTTTAATCATCGCTAGCTAGAGACTTTCTGTCTGGTTGGTTGTTAGGGAACATTTCGTTAAGTATATGAATGTGGACAAATTTCAACGTCATTCTCAGATTATGGGGGACTTTTAGTAATTGTTATTCTTCTAGATTTAAAAACTTAATGCTTAGTTCCAGCTGTTGTGTCCTTATCAGTAAAATTCTAGTCTTTTAGGGAGAAGAAGAGAACATTTTTTATTTTTTGTTTATAGCTATTGGTTATTGTTAAATTGCACGAGCCGTGTACTGAACGTTACGATTTGTCTCTGTGATGTTTATCGGTTATGCTTATTCAAGATTCTCTATTGATTTTTCTCAAGGAAATAAACGTTATTACTTCCTTACTTTTTGTTTAGTCAATTCAATAAAAAAAGAAAGATTCACTAGAAGTGTTTGTTTGTGGATACGTAGTCCGAATTTTGAACAGCATTTCGCTTTGCCTATTGGTAATTGAAACACTTTTAGCGTAATGTCTTTATACCGCCAAATTCTGGGTCGCACTATCGGCACTTATCATGCTGCTGCCGCTTCTGTCCGAGGATTTGCAACTTCACATGGTTAGGCTTTGATTTTTTTTTCTTTGTGTTGTAATAAAATTAAAAAGATCAGTTTTATCACAATTCGTTTGTATTTGGCCATTTCTGAAGGTTTGATGAGGTTATGGTAGAAATCTATAATGAATAATTTTTGCACGCTAATAAGTAAAAAGACTTGGGATGTGCCTACACAAAAGAGACCTGCGATTTGGATTACTGGAAAGGTTTTCTGCATTGAGATTCACTGCCTTGCTAATTGACGAATGTTGTCACTTGTCAGTAGTACTGTTCTCTCCATTGCTTTAAGCCACATTGTAACTGCAATCTATGGCGTTCTTATTTAAAGTGCGCGAGTCATTTAACAGTGAAAATCAGTAAATTTTCAGATTCTCTCTTGTTTTTGGTAAAAAGCTTTTTTATCTAAAGTGTACTGTTTAACTGTGGCTGTGAAATAGTGCTTTTTTTTCAGTAATATGAACGGGTGATTAACATTACACTTATTGCTCTAATTGAGGAGTGTAATGGGTAACTTGTTATTGTTTAATTATACTGTAAGGCGGATAGAAAGTAGGAGATAATGAAGCACTGGAATAAGAGCTGTGATTAAAAATTATGTAGTAACTTTTCTGGGAAAAACATTGGGTATATTTGTTGGAGAATTAACTAAGAAATGAGTTTTAGGATATTAATTCGCGTTTTTCTCAGATACTCAAGCTACTTAGTCTTGTAGAAGGTAGCACGAAAGTGGCTAAAAAATTGTAATGCTCGGCAAAAAAGCCGAAGAAGCAAGTTGCGATGAAGACTGATGTCTCAATGTTATGTGGGTATCGGTGGCTGAAGGTTATTTTTTTTAGAACTGACTATGAATTCCTGTAATGAGAGTTGAATTCGAAAAAGAGGTTCGTAAAAAATTGAAGCTAAAGGCAGTAAGCAATAAAAGGAGTAAATCTTATTTATTTTGGTTTATGGATGCTTCATCGAAGGTTAAGCACTCATCATATTGTTCAGTGAAAGCGTTGAGTTAAGAAAACATCAATATTGGGGATTCATGCTCGAAGAAGCTCTTCAGTTCTCTTTATGGTTACTTTTTCTTCAATAAAAACGGTCTGTCTACGAAGAATGTGCTTTCGGCTGTAGAGAGAAAAAAGGAAACTGCTGGAGAGAAGCTTTTTCAAGAGTTCTAAAATGGCGATAACTAACTGGGAAACTTTATCTGTATCAGTCTCTGAAACATACTGTGCTGGAATTTTTGGAAAGGGAGCCGAATCTTTCCAAGAAACAACTAAACTTTTGGAATGAGTGGTGAAAAAGGCAAATATGGCACTTATTAATGATTGGTTTGAAAAGCGTTTTAGTATACAGCGGTGGGGAAAGGGTAATTGAAGGAAATTTTTTGGTGGTAGTATTTTATCTTTTATTCATTTTTGTTATACAGTTAGCTAGATCTAACTAATTTTAAAAGGATTTGTCTAACTGTGTCAAGTAAAATAAGAATTTACAGCTATGCAACAGAGGTGCGTTTAAAGGTAGTCAATTTACTCGGTTTTTTTTCATTTGGAAGAATAGGTTTGACAGCAGTAAATTACTCAAAATGGACACAAAAACCAATTTTTGCTTTGACGAAGTTGTGGTGGACGTGGCTTTAGTATTCAAATTTAAAGGAGCTTATAATTATCTTATGCTCTGGTTCAGTAAGATTCTTCCTAATTTTTCTAAACTTGAGCTAAATGGAGGTATACTTCTAAAAATTTTTTGCAGAGGCAGATTTAGTTGTCATTGGTTCCGGTCCAGGCGGATATGTTGCTGCTATAAAGGCGGCCCAGTTGGGGATGAAAACCATTTGTGTTGAAAAAGATGCTACTCTTGGCGGTACTTGCTTGAATGTTGGGTGCATACCATCAAAATCTCTGTTGAATAATTCACATTATTATCATATGGCAAAACACGGTGATCTCAATTCACGAGGTAAAAATCTGTTAAAGACGTAATCTTTTTTCAGGATTTTTGTGTCTTTTAACCTTTTCTGTGAAAGTTGAAATGTGCAAATAATAAAGATTTAACTCTCCGTATTTTAGGAAGTATCTTTTAAGTGTAGTATGGATGTTTATATAATACTTTATTGAATGCTTTTCTAAAATTATTCATGTCACTAAGGTGTGGAAGTTGTTCCCACGCTAAATTTGGAGAAGATGATGGCAGCGAAAGCGGCATCTGTGAAAGCACTGACTGGTGGAGTAGCAACTTTGTTCAAAGCAAATAAGGTGGAAAGTATAAGAGGTGTTGCCAGCATTATAGGTCCAAACGAAGTACGTGTTTTGAAAATTCCTCTTGCTTAGTCTTTAATTATTTCTTTTTTTTTCTTTAGGTAAGTGTGAAAAAGACAGATGGCTCTACTGAAACACTGAAGACGCGGAATATCCTTGTTGCCACTGGATCAGAAGTTACTCCTTTTCCAGGGATTGATATAGATGAAGAACAGGCACGTTCCTTATGATAAGGTTTAGTAAAGCCTATTCATTTTTCAGAATGCAGTGTTTGAATATGAGGTGCACTCCACCTAACTGCTTCAAAGTAGATGTCACGTCTCAAACTTGATATTTTTCAGATTATTTCTTCTACAGGGGCATTGTCTTTGAGCAAGGTTCCTGAAAAAATGGTGGTTATTGGTGCTGGCGTTATTGGCAGTGAATTGGTAATCGCTTTCTTTTACCTCTCGAAAGTTTTTTAGCTTGTATCTTCCACTGTCTCTTAATTACTGGGTTACAGGGCAGTGTTTGGCAGAGGCTTGGCGCTCAAGTAACCGTTGTTGAATTTCTGGGACATGCAGGTGGTGTAGGAATCGACATGGAGATCGCAAAGCTGTTTCAACGTGTACTAGCAAAACAAGGTTTACTTGTCGCTTTGTTTTACACCAGCTTTGGGTTTTTTTGAAAAGATTTTTCTTATTAGAGTGCCACTTTCGGATATGGCTTTTTGATGCCTGTTTTGGAGCTCTTATTCTGCAAATTCCTGTTGAACTGTTAGCTTTTTATAAAGGACTTTTATTTTAATTTATCGTGTTTGTTTACTCTTTTATGATAATTTTACGATAATCATCAACATTTTATTTTTGACGTAACTTTAATTTTTGTGTTGTTTTGTTTCAGGGATGAAGTTTATGATGAACACAAAGGTTACTGCAGCGAAAAAAACAGGTGGTAAAGTTTCAGTTGAAGTTGAGGCTGTAAAAGGTGGCAAAAAAGAAACAGTATGTTTTTCCCCCATGGATTAAAAACTTGCTTTATTTTTTATTTTAATTTTTAATGTCATATTTCTCACCTTTGCTAATTTTCAAAATTTCTTTCAGTTAGATGTGAGTTCTACGCATGTATAAAGTACCAAACAGTTTTATTCTGAAAAGTCGACAACCACTTTTGATTTCGTTTTGATTTCCTCAGCTAAATTTACCGCTGTCACTTATTAAGCCCACGACTTTACAAAGTTATTGGAATTTCTGAAAGATTTTTATTCTACAGATGTCTTTTTTTTTTTTTTTTT